TTGCTTCTTCTCCCCATCTCCTTCAAATATGTAGCCAGCTCCCCTTCCCTCCCTACCCCCCTCCTCCCCAGCTCCATCCCTCGCTCTCCTCCTCCCTCCTCCTCCTCCCTCGTCTCCTCGTTACCTCCCCATCCTCTTCCCTGCTCCCATTCCCTTCTTGATACTCATATCTCATAACAGGCAGTCACCGCGATCGATGCTCTCCCGCACATGTTCGGCCTCCTCAGCGTGCCCGCACGGTTTAGACAGCGTCGAGAGCTCGGTGGAGCAGTGCGTTTTTTTCTTTTTGGCGTGCTTTGTTTTGTACACTCGTTTCTTTTCGGTCTTTTGGATTCTTTTGCGTTTCGTGCTGGGGATGCGATGCGATGCATGCGCACACGGAGACTTTGATGCGATCTTCGGACGCTCGACGAGCATTATGCGCGCGCGAGATTATAGTTGGAGCTCTTGCCGATAAATACATCTCTCAGCTATGCCTTGCTCTTCGTCCTATCTTCTCCCCTTAAGCTCTTCTTTTTCTTTAGTGCATGAAGCCACTGTCGACGCCGTGGAAGGAGTGGTTGATGGGGAGAATGAATGAGGGTCTTGTAGTATGACGGGTTGTATTGCTTCCACTATTTGAATTCATTATCTTGACGAATCCTCACCGAGTTCGAGTCGCCAGCTCACTCTATGTGGTGGTGACCTTGAGTTGCTGTTGACCGAAGGCAGCGAGCGAACCTGGAAATTACAGAAGCGCAGGGGATTTCAAAATGATATGGGATAAAATAGTTGGTTGGAGCATGTGAAGGAGAGAGAGCCATGAGATGGCTCATGAAATCTGTCACGATCCTAAAAAGGAAAGTCTCTTCCCTTTTTCAGGCCCTCTCGTCCTCGCCTCCACACACACCCGTTCCCTACATATTGTGCTCCTTCGAGCCCCTTCATCTAAGCCACATCACATATATGTGTATAATGTGTATAAAAAACGATACCCTCCGCCAGAAATAAAAGTTATACTTTTACACCGTCCCCAACCCTTCCTCACATCTCTACCCTTCCTCCAGTGGCCACACTTCTGCCTGATCCCCTCCGTTCGCACGCCAGACCAGCATATCATCTCTTTGTGGCGGGCCGGCCTACCCCTTATAAGAAAATCAATCGTCCTTCTTCTTATCTGCCCCCGGGCTCCCAGTGCTCAGCCTCTTCCCCGACGGAGGCGGCGGGATATTGAACCCCTGTCCGGGGCTGGGTGTGGGCGGGAAGATGCCGTACTAGAAACGGGCACACACCGGTCAGCACCTCTTCCAAAAAAAAAAACGCGCAACGCACCTGCGGCGTCCCCGGCATCGGCACACTCCCAATACTCTGCGGCCGCGGGCTCCCCACCCCAGGCGTCCTCGGCGGCCCCAACCCGCTCGTCGACCGCCCGCTCATCGGCGGCGGCCCGAACCCAGGCGTGCCAGGCTGCGAGCCATATCCTCCTGCGGCGGGTGAACCGGGGTAGCCTCCTGCGGAAGTGGGTCAGCCATCTCATCTTTTTTCTCTACACGTTGGAGGTACGCACCAGCAGGCGAATACGGCGACTGCGGGAGCGGGAACGACCCCGTCACGGGCGTGCCGCTGTACGGGCTCCCCGTCCCAGAGTAGGGCACGGGGCTGCCGGGCGCGCTTTCCATGACCCAACCGTTGCCTTGCGGGATGAGCCGCCCGGAGCCGGGGCGCGCGCGTTTGGTGAGGGATGCGCCTGTGTGTGCGTGTCAGTAAAGTCATTCTAATGAAAAGGGAGCAGAAAAGGGAAGTGAACGGAAAAGGAAGAGGGAATGGGTGAGGGAGTCGTAGGCGTATAGCCTGCACTCCGTCTTCGATCTGACTGTGTGGCAAGACTCGTCCACCCGGCGCGCCTAACGCGTACAGGTCCGTGCTTCGATACTCCGCACTCAGCACTCCGTCTTTATACGCCCGCCAAACGCACCCCATCTCCCTTCCCCACTCCACACCCTCCCTCCCGTCCTCCGCACCCTCCCCCTCCCACACTCCAAATATAAAAAAGCCACCCAAACGCACTCACCACTAAACTTCGTCTTCAGCGCACTCGCGCTCGCCACCGCCGGCGGGATCTCGTCGTCCGAGTTGTCCACGAACGCGGAGACCGCGGCGGTGGTGACCTTCAGGGCGTACCCCATGCAGACGAAGACGCCGCCGATGACGCCGACCATTCTGGGGGAGTAGGTCAGTACTCAAGAGGACGATGACAAGAGAAAAGAGGGGATGAGAGGAGAAGAAGGTCGGATGCGACGAGGGGAAAAGGATAATGGGACACAAGCAAGTGGGAAAGGTGGGTAAAAGGGATACGATGGGAAGATACGACAGAAGGGGAGACGAGCAAGCCTCGATTGCCTCGGGGGCGATCGAAGGTAGGGTGGGACATAGGAATACGAGGGACACGAGAAATCCCGGAATGCGGTATTTGTAACAAAAACAAAAACAGCCCACCGACCTGATAATCAACTGCACGATCCCAATCGTCCTCTGATGAATCGTGAGACTCATCGGGTCGAGGTCAAACTTGAAGAAGATGCCCGGTGTGCCGGAGTGGTGTTCCAGCACGCGCGTGTAGTGCGTTACGCTGCGGAGCAGTTAGAATGGGTATCAGACAATAAAATCACATATAACGCACCTATACTGATTCGTATGCAGCGGCGCCGAGCGCGGGGCGATGTACGTCGTAGGCACGACGTGCAGGAAGTATTGGTACGCGACGAAGGCTGGCGTACATACACTGAGTAGCTGCTAGTTATCGAGAAGCACACGACTCACGATCATGCGTAATTTCGAGGGAGTTGTCGAGCGGCTGCGTGATGTCGGGGAAGTACGGCCCAAACGAAAACTCGGTGATGACGTGCGAGAGGTTCATCACTGTGCGCCCATTGGCATCAGTTCGCCCGACAGAAAGCAGAGAAAGCGCACGCACGGCTGTGATCTACGTGCTCATGCGACGCATACCCGTGGCCCAGCGTCGTAATGTGCAGATTCGCCGTGACCTTCTTCACCTCCACCTGCCCGCTCACGCGGCACCCCCGCGCGTCCGGCTCGTGCTTGTACCTGGGCATATACGGCTCGGGGTTCGCCCACTGGAACATGGTGGAGAAGAAGCCGCGGCTCTTCCGCGACTGGGCGACAGCCTGGCGCGCGGAGAGCGCCTGCGAGTGCGCCTTGAGCGTTGTGGCCTGCCCGACATCGAACTTGGTGCCGTCGCGGCGGATGCCCGGGCCGCGGCCGCGGGTGTTGGAGAGGAAGAGGCGGTCACCGACGGCGTCGCGCAGGTCGACGCTAATAACTGCGAGGTGCCAGCGCACATTAGCATTGGAATCGAAGATTAATGAGAAGGCCACACAAGAACACGGCATGGCAACCACCAAGTCGACATTAATGTTCATAAAGCTGCTCTCTTTGGTGTCGACGCTGAACTCGTGGTCCGGCCACCCAAAGACAAACTCGCCGATGTCGTTCAGCATTAGCAGGAACGTCACGAAGCCGACGAAGATGGTGAGGAATCCACGCGAGTCCGAGCGCTGCTTGTACGCCGAGGGCACCTTCGGGAAGGCGTCGAACTGCGCTAGCGGGGCGGGGACGGCGGCGTCGAGCTTTTCGAGCAGCGAGGATTCACTGCCGTCGAACGACATGATAGTGGTGGTGACCAGAAGAAAGAGGAATACGTGTCAGAAGGGTCACGTGGATCGGATAATTGTCGCAGTGGGGAGCCGGAGTAGACCAGCAGACTGTTTTGAGATAAAGTCCGCAAGCAGCGCAGAGCACAGAAAGTGAAGAATAGACGCGGAAGAAAAGTGCAAAGAGTAATAGTAGTCTATCAGCGAGACATACACGGGCAAACAACCCATATCGTCCGGTTATGGTAATTATCGGACCTCCTATCAGCGCAGTTGCTATCGCGGGTGCAAAGAGACATCGCGCCGAGACATACCATCGCAAAGGCAAAAGAACCCTGTTCTCGGGGCTCACTTCCATGGCCATATCCCCGGGCCCCGACGAAGCACAGTGAAACCCGGTGATAACTCGGGGGATCCATAGTCTAACCCTTGAGAACTGAGTGGATCAAAAACAAAACAAAAAAGTTTGAATCCGCTGGAGCGTAGATTTTCCACAGAATCTCGGGTGAAATCCTGGCCAATCGGTGTTTGGCCTTGCGAAGCAGATTTCTCTTGACGCGTGGTCAGCCTCAGTATTAACACCACAGGCTCCACTTCATTGTCAGTCAGAATGACTCCAGACAAGAAGTTAGAACTCCCGAATCGTGAAACAAATACCTGTGAAAAAAACATGCTAAAAAAATTGCATGCACTCGAGGTGCATTCTCGTGGCTTTGACAGGTCACCCATGGTATCTCGTGATTTGAGAGGGCCGGCCTTCACAAAGTGTACATCAAGTTGGAAGTTATTGCTTTAGATTTTGCCTTGTCGGTGCCAAATGCTTTGCTGTTATTATAGAGGTAGGAAGATTTACCGTCTATCCGAGCTCTCAATTCAACCCAGGATTCTACATAGAGTCTACAGTAGAAGTCAGTTCAACGAATCCAATGCTCTCTACCTCACGATACAACCCCATATGTGCAGACTTCTTCGAAGCTCACAGTCTCTGTCCGATGGGGTTGGATCATTGTAACTGTTACAGTAACAAAGGAGGTTCAAATATACATTGAACATAAGTATTGACCTCCACCTGGGCTCGCATGTCCAACCAACTAACAAATCAATCACTTGGGATCATAGTAGGCTCAAAGCAAGTCACTGTTATGTGATCGATCTGAGTTAAATGTTAAAACACAGGGCTTTCCTTGTCAGGTAGTGCGTCAAGTTCCGCCAGGACACAATATTCCAAGGAATGGCAATGCTGGGTCCAAAAACATTTCGGAAAAAAATCCGAGAATATTCCTGAGGCAGCTCTAAGGTAAAATAATGCAAAAGCATGAGAAACGGGGGGATGGAGAACGCAAAAAGAAATGGACGAATCCGGAATTGAACCGGACACCTCTCGCAAGCTTATGTAAGATGCTAAGCGAGCGTGATAACCAACTACACCATACGCCCGTATGGAAGTAGTCGTTGTGGTACCATGTCGAGGGAACAAGAAAGCACTGACCATCCCACAGAGTTGTTTATTCCGATGTCTTGTTCTCGAAAACTGTCGGCACGCAATCGAGCGAGGTAGCCAACTATACCTTGCGCCCGCCTGATATGTTAAGATCAAAAGGGGGAAGCGAGATGAGAGACCAAGAGAAGCAGTTGTCTCTTGATAGTGCTGAAAGTTCAAAGCACCGGTAAGTACTCGTCCGTAATACTCGTATTCCAGAAGCACGAGTCATCTTGAAGTTCAAATGCCAGTGAATGAGCAAGATAACCAACTACGCCATATACCCTTTTTGATGGATGTGGGTTGAGCAGTTGAAGAAGGTGAAATAGACAGGAATGAAAAACCTCTGGTGTAAATTCATCATTGTCTAGTGATATACGAAAACTTAGGAAAGAGAGCCTACAAGAAGAACGTGCAATCACTGGATTTGTAGACATCTTCAAATTCATGAATTTCTCCAAGCTCTCGCACTCAACGCTCGAACCAATAGAATCGACAACAGACACCAGTCAGAACAAGCCAACAACTTTTTAGTGACCTCAAAGTGCTGCGAGGTGTTCTCCAAGTCCAAGGGGGATAATGCTGCATCAATAACTCTTGAGGCAACTCCGGTGGGTGGGGAAGACAAGCAATAAATATGTCCGGATCATGGCTAACGGTCAATGGCGGAAAAGGTAAAATCAGGGGTGGTGCCAGTAGGCCTCCGCATAGGCTCCTAGGTTGTCGGGTTCCTCAACTAGTTTGTCAATTGCTTCCTGAGATCATCTGAGTCGTACAGCCTAGCACTTCCATCGGAGCCTAATCCCAATAGGAAGGGATTGAATTCCGAATTTTCGAGAGCCTCAGCATCTGTAAGGGAGGAGTGCCTAGTCGGGCTGTGAAACCGCGACAGCCATGTCTCTTGCTTCTCTCAACGAAGATCTAGTCATTCTTGTCTGCCTCGAACTATCTATTGTGGATATCTTTTCACTTCAGCAGGTGGGTGGAATCCGGATTCTCTTTCCACATCAGCATTCACTATTCGAGCTCGGTCGATTTGTAGGCGTGCTGTACACTTTGCAGGGCAAAAAGAGCCAAAATTCTCTGGGTCCATGTACTGGAGCGACAAAAGCACAAGGAGGGCAAGTTTCTGCCTTCTTACATGAAAAAGATCCCAGCACAAACCGCCAAATACATTGATAAAAAAAACCAAACTCGGGGACTGTACCTCAGAATGCAGAGGAGATTGGTCCCAAGTCTATTGGCATTGTGTCCTCCAGCCCAGGTCAGAGTTGGGTCAGAGTCAGGAGAAGCAGTACACGACCACGTGACTCTGAATGGCTTGGACGCTGCAGCAGACGGTTTGAATGGACTCGGAGGTTTAAGTTGGGCTGCACGGAGGATGATGACTTGGCTGATGATTCCTGGAAGAAGGAAATGAGGTGACAAATAAGCAGAAATTGGAGGTGGAATTTTGTACCTGAAAAGGAATCGGTACCTCCAAAACTCCGGTGTTCAATGCCAAAGTAACATTCAACCAGGGTTCCAGGAAGTTTCAATTTGATAGCTTCGGGGGCAAGACAGGTTCCATCGATATCCCATACAACAAAATCACGGACGACGTGAGACTCAGCAAGTTGTTTGACAGTGTCACGACATTCGGTGGGGACAGGTAAGGCTATTATATCTACGGATGGGGCTGATATAAAATTAGGAGGATAATAATGACAGCAAAAATATATATATACCTGAGTTTTCGGTCCGGTAAATGTTAACAGGGAAGAGTATATTGGAGTTGGAGTCATACCTTTGGTTCAAAGATGTGAAATGCAAAACAGATTATATCCTTGCCGTTGCTTTCTTGGACGAGCCAGAGATGCTTGCTGGTTTTGGCAATTTTTGTTTGCAATCTTTTTAAGACGGTAACAGCTTTGGTAAAATCATCAGCGAAAGTTGGGTCATTTTCTAGGTGAAGTAAATGTCAGACCATACACAGTCAATACATAAATGTGGCAAGAACCGGGTTCAACAGTCAGGAAAGTGTGTTTTGCGGCCGTGATAGGTTTATTGTAGGTATTTTCCATGTACTTGGACCAGTTCCCGAGAGTAGTGACTCGAAGGTTGGTTTCAATGACTGTTCCGATAACAACAGCAACTCCGTCAGGAGGAGCGGGTCTATCAGGATCGACAACACCCTCGGAATTTCAGTCAAAACATTGGCACCCTTGGATGTTTTGAAAATGAATGAGGATTTGAACAGCAAGCCAGCGAGATAATTTTTAGTTCTAACGAGTTCGTTTTGGTGGAAGGGGGAACTGAACTGAGGTTTCGACCTGGTGGGGAGTTGCGGGGAGTTGTGCGTGCGGCGTATGAGGGACAGATATAAGGCAGTCAAGAAATGCGGGAGAAGCGGCAATAAGTTCAGGGTCAATGAAAAGGTGCGACAGTGGGAGTTGAAGCAGTGCTACTTGAGTGTATATTATTTGGTTCATAGCTCAAAATGGTAATAAATGCAAGCCATGTGATGAAAGCGACATTCTCGGTCCTCCCCCATTTTGAAACCCCTCAAATAGGCACATACAAGATAAATACTGTTTGTGAATAAGGTGATCTGACCGAAAGTTACGCGCCGATATTGTTACTTTACTACTGTACAATTTCGACCAAGTATCCGCCCATTGTGACCTGTGAGCATAAGTATTCAGATCTGAAGTATTCGAGTTGCCTTTTTGGGAAGAATTCCGGCGCCGCCGGCGCGAAAAATTGCTTATTTGGGACACCGAAGCTCAAAAACATCGATCCAAAGTCGCTGTGACCTGGGACATATTTGCCAAGTATTCAATTCGGCGGGCTCGGTGACCCGTGACCGGATACCCGGTCGAAATTGTACAGTACTTCTCGGGTTCAGATATAGATGCAGAGTCGCAAAAGCGACTGGATTATAATTAATGCAATGCAATGGTAAGTCAGGGGCCTGGGCCGGTTGCGGGACGGTATTAAAATAACTGGAACGTGTCCGTCGAGGAAGCAGAGTATGAGTACTAGGGATACAACGCAGGACGGACACAAGATAAAATAAGTGAGTAGTCCATCGAGTTACGCATTGTCGGGCACAGCTCGTCAACTTAAATATACTGGGCGGCGGGGAGTACGTAAGATCGGGATTGGATATGTAGATTAGTAGCTACCGTCGAGTCTCGTCGGGAGTGAAGGAGACAAACCCGTGTTGTTCGGGTTCTTGCACCATGGTTGGTGCTCAGGCCAGTGGGCGGTTTGGTGAACCTCGTCGCAATATCTGGTTGGGATCCTGCCCGGCACCTGAGAACAGAATTTGCATACTTTTGTTGCCGATTGATGGCAGCCGGGGAGAGAGCACACCGCAAAGGCTAGGCAGTTGCGATAATGACTCTCATACCACTGTTGCCTCCTGCAATCTTCGCTACAATACCATATATATCTGCAATGACGGCACGCAAAGTGTCGAGTTGCATATATGTTTTGTTCGATGGACCTGCACGCCTGGCGCGCACATCGGCGAACTTCTGGCAGCCGTTTCCCTGGGATCATTTTCGATCCCCGGTCCAAGTATATGAAAGGGCCGCCGATACCGGTCCTTTGGTTGCGCTGTTTTGCGATAATCTGCATCTCATCATTGATACTGTGAATGACGGTTTGGCAGTTTGTACACGCTGGTTTGAGCATCTCCTGAACAAACTTTATGCGATTGTAGCGGCCGTTCAGTTTATGGATGCTGCGAACGTCTGCCGCCATTCCGTTGAGGAAATATTGAACCGATACTTCTGGGTCCAACATACTGAAGTGAAGTTATAAGTCTGTGAAAGCAAGTTGACGTGTCTCAGTGCATTTAAACTTACTATAACAATGCCAGCGTTTCTGCGCAATGACCCCAGTGAATTCCCAGCTCTTGGATCGCCAGCGGGGAAAGCCCCGTGAACGTGAGCCCTTCCATGAACCCTTGCAGATTTTTCTCCTGGAGTTTTCGAGCTTCGTCTTTCAAGTATTCTGAAAGGTTTGGAAACACGGCCGCATCCAGTCTGAATCGGCCACTTCCTGGCTTCAGGACAGGCTGGGCGCCTGGGGCCCCTCCTGTCGGGGCTAAGATGGGCAGGACCTTCCGCTGATGAGTGGTCGTATATATCACACAAGCGGTGGTGGGTGCGCTGTCTTCGTTGACGAAGTAACTGGTGGCCGCGATGCGAATCCAGCTGCAATAGTTCGCAAGCATTCTGAGGTGAACCGCCTCCATTTCGGTATCGTTTGGGTTTTGATCAGCCTCGAAATAGTATGGATCTGTTTCTGTTATGAGATAGCCTGTTTCGTCTCCGGGATTAGCAGAAGTGTGTTGAAGACGTGACGAGACACCGACCCAAAGCCGAGTAAAAGTCGGCAATCCTCAACTTGAGCCCGTGAAGACCCTTCACAGTGACCTGCGCCAACTCGGTCTGTGAACCGGGCAACAAGCATCGGCTACGCCTTGAGTCCCTGAAAGAACGTTCGAACATCGGTGGATGGTAATAAAAAAGGTGCGGCTAGTACATACATGCATCCTTTGATGACAGTGCTCCAGAGCAGCTTGTTCCCCTCGTCCACGTCGACAAATGGATGAGAGTGGGAACGAATGTATACGTAGTCTTTTATCTGTAGTTATATTAGTTTACCACGATAGAGCAACTTGGGATGAACCGTACTTCTCTCCAGGTGGGGGTGAACTTGCCGGGATCGTGAATGGAGATGGTTGGAGACGTTGACGCTTGCGGTCGGTGCATCGATGCAAGTGGTAGGAGATAGCCAAATGAGCTTTCCAGGGTCTCATATATATACTTTACGGTGGTTTTGTGTTTCGCTTGGCAACCGAAGTTAATTTGGTGATCTGGCCGGGGTTTACATCGCCATGGGACGCCTTCGCCTCTCCACGAAGAACAAGAAAAACAATAGCTGGGAGATAATATGGGACCAC